CAAACTGGAAATGAATAGAAGATAGCCTTCCAGATGAGGCATGGCCAGTATGAGTACATAGTGATGCCCTTTTGCCTGTGTAACATACCCACTGTCTTTTAGCACTTTGTCAATGATGTCTTCCGTGACTACCTGGACTGCTTTGTCATGATCTACTTGGATGACTCCTTGATCTACTCACCCATCCAGGTAGCTCATGATGCTCATGTTCAGGCAGTGTTGCAACATCTCTGTGAACATTGGCTTTATGCCAAGTTAGAGAAGTATGCTTTTAACCTCACCACTGTGGACTTTCTGGGCTATCAGCTCTCATTCCAGGGAATCGAGATGGATCCTGCTAAAGTTGAAGCCATGACCTCCTGGCATCCTCCCAGAAGCTGGAAGGAGGTCCACTGGTTTCTAGGATTCATCAACTCCTATCAGAAGTTCATCCTAAACTACACAGACCAGACAGCTCCTATTGCCCAGCTACTCTATGGAAAGGTCCCTTTCAGATGGACCCCAGTGGTGCAAGAGGCCATCCAGTAGCTGAAACAGCAGTTTACATCGGGATCACTCCTTCAGCATCTGGATTCCAAGACACCCTTTGTGGTGGAGACAGATGCCCCTAATGTCACCACAGGAACCATTCTTCTACAGCTCACGCCCATGGGACTGGGACTGCTGCCCTACACATTCTACTCACAGCAGTTGAAGCCTCTGGAGACCAACTACATGGTCTGGGAAAAGGAGTTACTGGCCATAAAAGCAGCCTTTGAGGTTTGGCGGCATCTGCTGGGAGGGGCTGCTCATCCAGTGGAGGTCCACGCAGACCACCAGAGTACTTCTAAACTGCAAGGAAGAGGCAGAAGCAGTGCTCCCTCTTCTTCACCTATTTCAACTTCTGCCTGACCTACATCCCTTGGGACCAGAACCTACAAGCTGACACTTTCTCCCGAAAACCCAAATACATGGCATCTCCCGAAGCAGACCTACCCTCTACAATTCTATGGCCAGAGAATTTTGCCACTTAGAGAGAGACTCAGACCCTACAGAACTGGATTTGGGAAGGACAATGTCAGTGCTCCTTGGTGAGGTGAGGACCCATCATACCCTTATGTCATGTGGGAGGGACATCTTTACCACCAGAACCATCTCTATGTCCCAGTGGAAACCTGCCAGGAGGAGATATTATGCCTATGCCACAACAGCCATGAGAATTCTAGTGGCCTTGCATCTGAGCTGAGGTGTCCCACTACATCAGTTCATGTCCTGTCTGTCACCTGGCAAAAGTCCAGCCTGGGAAACCCACTGATCTTTTGCAACCACTGGAAACTCCATCAGGGCCCTGGAAAAAGATCTCCATGGACTTCATCATGGAATTATCCCTCTTGGCATGTTCCACCACCATTCTACTCATGGTGGACATATTTTCAAAGATGGTCCACTTCATCCCATGCATGGGCGGGCCTTCTACCAAGGACACTGCCCTCCTGTTCCTGCACTATATATTCTGACTTCATGGCCTACCAGAGGGGGTCATCTTGGATTGTAGACCGCGGTTCACAGCATGGTTTTGATACAGTTTTTTACACCAGTTATGTATCCAGGCCCAGTTGTCCTCCACGTATTGCCCCGAAACTGATGGACCGATGGAGAGAATGAATGCTACTCTGGAACATTATCTTTGATGCTACACTAATTACCAACAGGACAACTGGGTGGAGTACTCTCCCTGGCAGAGTTCGCCTACAATAATGCCCAACATTTCTCCACTCAGCAGTTGCCATTCTTTGTAAACTATGGTTTCCATCCTCACCAGTTTCCTGCAGTGGCGTCTCCATCTCTGGTCCCCGCAGCAGATCAATGGGTGCAAGAATTTCATGCACTGCAGGAACTACTCAAGGAACAGCTGGAACAGGTGAAGCAGGTCTACAAACAAACAAAATAAATCAGTAAAAAGACAAACGAGTAAAATATCTCCTTCACAATGACTAGGGTAGCTGACAGTCCTAAAAATTATTATTACCAATAATTGTTATTAAATGTAAGATGCTATAGTTAAGAAGAAAGAAGAGCATTGTTTAAAATCCAGGTAGACTATTTTGATCTGTAACAAAATTCAATGAACCAGATCAATTAGTCAAATAGGTAAGAAGACTGTAAATCTTTTTCTTCTAAAGGAAGCCCATGATTTTCAAGATAAGTTCTTCTCCTATATTATGTAGAAACAAGATGGAGAGCTTTCTTTATGAGGGGGCTCTGGTTGTGGAATACCTTCTGTATTAAGGTAATATTATGCAGATGTTATATTGCTTTTAGGACCAGCTTAGCACCTGGTATGTGTGAATGTCATACAGATATTTTAAAACTTTTTTTAATGTCATATGTAATAACTACCTATTTTATGTATTTGTCTTTTTCAATTCTGTAGTTTGTTGGGGTTTTACCAGAGAATTTGTTGCTTTTAAATTACATCTTGTATTGTGCCCTGGTACAACCAAACAAAGGATAAAATACAAATATTTTAAACAACAGATAAATAAATAAGCCTTTGGGCTATTATTCATGCTTGCACTAAATTGATACATTCCCTCTTGTGTATCTCTTTTGATTAATCTTTTATGGTGTTTACACTGTAAACTTTTATTATGAGTTTCTTAATATTATCATTTATTAAAAGCCACTATTGTAATTTATTAAAGGAAGTGAAGATTTAAAACCACCAGCTAACCAAACGGTGATGTGACAAAGGCTGAATCTACACTGCAGAAATAAAGCAGTTTGACAACACTTTCACTGGCATGGCTCAATACATTAAAAAAAAATTCAACAAAAGACAATACAAACCATAACACAGCACAGGACATAATTAAAAGCCCATCCCATTTAGTTTTTTAAAGCCTGGTGGCACAAGAATGCTTTTAGCTGCTGATAGAAGATCAATGAAGTAGGCATCCTAATCTCTTCAGGGATGGAGGTCCAAAGACTAGGAGCAGCCACCAAGAGCATATTCTCCTTTTTACCCACCAAAGGAACCTGAGAAGGTGATGGGACAGAGAAAGACCTCTCCAGAAGATCTTAAGAGTTCTGATCGGCTCATACAGACATATAACAGTCCTTCAAATAGCCTGGATCCAAAGCTTTATAAGTCATCACCAGTATTTTGAATTGTGCCCAGAAATGGACCGAAAAAGTTGCCAATATTATTGTTCTGTTCTTCTCAAACCTTTTTCTTTGAATCAAATTAAACGTTATGATAGCATCCTGTCCCACACCTGAAATAGCAGGCTTATTATATACAGTTTACACTGTTTTAAATTAGTGACATTTTAGATATAACATTTTAAAAATCAATTAACATTAGCCTTTTTATCTGTATTACATTTTAACTTTGTTGTAAGCAGGCTTGGATGCCACCAGGAGAGGCAGGATATACCATATATACCAAACTTCATATATAAGTTGAAAGCAGGTTTGGGGGGCCAAAATTATGGATTTTGATATAACTCATGGATAAGTCGAGGGTAAAACTTAGGGGCATGTAACAAAAGATCTAATGAATAATGCAAAGGAAAATGAAGCTAAAGAATTTACAAAATTCCAGCAGGCAATACTGTTTGTGCTCACACTACATGGATGAGAGAGTAAAGGGGGGTTGGGTCAGTGCTTCCAGGAGAGATTACACTCTTGCCTATCTTGAAGTGGTTTCTTTAAAAAAAAAAAAAGCAAAAGCAAAGCAGCTTCATTTATATACAGCTTCATATTGTGCTATGGGATGTCTAAGCAGTTTACAACTGTAAGCTCATTGCCCCACAACAGTTGGGTACTCATTTTAGTGACCTCGGAAGGGTGCAGGCCTGAGTCTAGCCTGAGCCCTGGCTAGTATTGAACTCGCAACCTTGTGGTCTATGAGTGAGTGGCTGCAGTACAGGCATTTAACCACTGCACCACCAGGGCTCTAAAAAAAGAGTTAAAGTACAGTACATTGACCTGTGGATAAGTCAACTCGGGTTTTTTGGGTCAATTTTTTGACTAAAATGTTTAGAGATGTATATATGAGTATATACAGTATATCAGATAGATAAATGGCATGTTTTTACTCTTAAAAGAAACTCTTTTTTCCTCCGTGTCATCAGGCATTTTTTTCTCTCGCTCTACTGAAGAAGAGATTTGAAGCATTAAGTCATATTTTATAATTAATACCTTTTTATATACACCTCCATTAAACATGGTGCTTCCCTCGCTGACCCCAAGCTTTCAGTCAGAGAAGAAATGAGGCTTCTATTTGCTCCTTCAAGTCCTTAACTTTGAGGAAACAGCCAGAGGAAATGTTTGCCTGTTTTACTGAGAGTTGGGGCCTTTGTGAACTGCTAGAAATAGTGCAAATTGAGTCCACTTTAACTGCCCTGGCTCAGTGCTAGGGAATCATGGGAAATGTATTTTTTTCTGAGACATTGAGCCTTCTCTGTCAGAGAGCTTTGGTGCCACAATAAACTACAGTTCCCATGATTTCCTAGCACTGAGTCAGGGCAGTTAAAATGGACTCAGTTTGCAATATTTCTGGCAGTCTGCAAAGGCCCTTAATCTTATTCATTCAGAACTCTTTAATTTCAGTAGGTACATCAAGTGGAATTTTCTTATGACAGAGCAAACACAGTGACAGAAGGAAACAAAGGATAACTCAGTACTTCCAAATGAATGATGGGGTCCACTCTCAAGTATAGACATGAAAAGCAATAGACCAGCTATCATCACTGAAATGGAAAACACACCGAGAAAGAAAGAGAAAAACAAGATTATTCATATAAAAAACTTTCCATTATCTTAGATCATGTGATCATTTATTTTTATGTGCCTTCAAGTCATTTCTGACATGGCAATCCTAAGCCAAATCTATTATGGTGTTTTCCTGGCATGGTTTATTCAGAAGTCCCTTTCAGGTGGACCCCAGTGGCGTAGCAGGTCTTCTCCTGAATCTGAGAGCATATAACTTGTCCAAGATCACCCAGTGGTTTTCATGGCCAAGCTGGGAACCAAACCCCAGCCTCCAGAGTTGTGGTCCAACACGCAAACCACTACACCACACTGGCTCTCCATGTTATCCTACTAGAGAGGGTTTTTTTTTTTTTTTTTGTTATCAGCTTTTAAACATTTGTTAATGTAAAATTGTGAATGAAAAAATAATAAAATGGCAGTATTCTGTCATTATATTCAGAATTTATATTTTTCTTTTAAAATGGTTATGTGGCTATTAGTGTGTGTGTGTTTGAGAGAGAAAATTTAGAATCTGTCCATAGAGAAGGTACAATTTTATTTAATTTTTAGAAAAGAAGTTGTATCCCACCACACCTAAGTGAACTATACAGTTTTTCCAATGTTTATCTATGTTGCCACTCACACACTATTAAATTGACTTTTTTTTTTTTTTGGTACCATTTTAAGGGAAGAGGAAGAGTTATTCCATAGTTCCATGCCATCACCAAGAATTATCCTACATTGGGAGGAGGATGAAGTCTGTGAAATCTTTGAAAAAAGTGCTGTGGTTATCATCTTATCTTCCCTCATATTTTTCTCTTTTTTTAAAAAAAAAATAGAGTTACAAGCTTTGTAGATCACAGGAATGCTGTGGATGATTTTAATAAGGCCTTTGACAAGGTCTCTGTGGCATTTTTGCAGAGCAGCTAGTAAAATGTGGGCTAAATAATGCTACTGTTAGATGGGTTTCTAGCTGAATAGTTCCATATATAGTCTGGTTGGAGTTAAGTAGAGGATTCTTTGCTAACTCCATTTCTCTAAGGTGTCGCAGACTGTTCTAGGACCTTTCTGATACTGATGTCAAGCTGACTGGTTGGTAATTACTAAAGCCCTCTTTTTCTCCACTTTTGAAGATTTGGACAGCATTTTCCCACTTTTAACCTGAAAGGATTTCACATGACCCTTGAGCTCATCTAAAAGTATCCAACCTAATTTCTTTAGACAGTTTCCCCTTTTATTTCTCATTGGAAATGTTTGCCTTCAAAATCTCACTTTTAAGGAACTCTCATCCACCATGAATTCTTTTTTTCTTTGAGTATTAATGACTAGGGTCCAAAACACGCTGCAGAAATAATCCAGTTTGAGACTGTTTTAACTGACCTGTCTCAATGCTAATGAATCCTGGAAATTGTAGTTTATTGTGGTACCAGAGCTCTCTGACAGAGAAAGCTAAATGTCTCACAAAACTACAGTTCCCAGAATTCTCTAGCATTGAGCCAAGGCAGTGAAAGTGGTCTCAAACTGGATTATTTCTGCAGTGTATTTGGAGCTAGGAGTATTTTCTTAAATTTATTGGGGTGGTGTAATGGTTTGAGGGTTGGGCTATGACTCTGGAGACATACCCTGGAAATTAAATTGTCATTGTGTCATGCTAGTATGGCTTATTTTCTTGGTAGAGTGACTCCTACCAGGTATCAGGACAGTTGGTCTCCCATTACCACTATCTCCCCATTTTTAATATTTCACAATCTGTTCTAAAAAAACATAAAACAGGTTTTCAGTCTGGTTGGAGGTGTAATCTATTCCTTTTGAAATGGTTACAACCCTCAGTTACTACAATCCAATCAAGTGTCTCATCCTGCAATATTTTAGTAATGTCTATTAAATCATATTTGCCTTCCTGTGTTAAGAATTTAAGTTTGTCTTATTTTTCCCATGCACTGTGTGTTAATGTAGAGTCTTCTGACATCATGTTTTCCAACTGCTTCCTTATTGTTTTTTACTGTTTATTGGAGCACTGCTGTATCAATACTCTAGTTTTCCCTGCATCACTGATGCTGTTGTCCTTTGTACTTATTGTCTCCTTTTCCTCTGAAATATTGTCTCATTCTTCAGTAAGATTCAGTGTGAAGGCCTTATGATCAGGTTTGTGAGACTTTCAGCAAACAAATTCTTACCACTGTCAGAATTTGCCAGAAGTCCTTCCTAATAGCAGCATTAACTATGGGCCTTTGCAGACTGCCAGAAATAGTGCAAATTGAGTCCACCTTAAGGGTTAGGGTTAGTGCTAGTTTTTTTTCCTGGGAATTGGTTTTTTTCTGAAACATTGAGCCTTCTCTGTCAGAGAGCTCTGGTGCCACAATAAAATACAGTTCACATGATTCCCTAACCTTAACTCTTAAAGTGGACTCAATTTGCACTATTTCTGGCAGTCTGCAAAGGCCCCCAAGAAGCCATCTTATCAAGTCTGCATGCCACTGCCTCTGCCACTGCAGTAGGGAATCACATGCCACTACCACAAAAGCCTACTTCTTTTTTTTTAATTTTATTTTTTAAGAAAGAGATACACAAAAAACAAAAACAAAAATAAAACAAACATAACATTTGAATATATATATATATATATAAAGCTTCTTCTAACTTAAAAGAGCCTACTTCTCTGGGAAGTGACAGGAATCTTTTAATCTGCTTCATCTACAAACTGATCATCTTTGCAGTTTGGATAGTTAGATCTCAATAAATACCTTCTTCTCCAGCAGGGCAACCAGCTTTCACAACTATTGATATAGCCTTCTATGTCTTCAGGCAAGAAAACATAGTACATATGTTGCAGGGAACTCCTCACCACCCTTGTCCCTTCAAACTTTGTAGACAATGATGCAGCAGTCTGGACCTCCCTCTCAAACCTCCCCACAAAATGCCCCATTTACTGTCCCTGTTCACTTACTTTTGCTAACAGAAGCTGTGAAGGCACTTAGACACTGCTGCTTGCTTTGCCTCAGCCATGGGTGCATCTGCAGTATAGAAATAATGCAGCATGGCACTAAACTGTCATGGCACCATACTACAGAATCCCTGAGATTTCTAGTTTTGTGAGGCAGCAGCACTCTCTGGTAGAGAAGGCTAAAGACCTTTTAAAACTACTTCCACTGTAATAAAAACTAACATCACCACCCCTCTAAGCAATGTGTACCTTCACACGGATACAACACTAATGTTCTCTTTACCAAAAGATGCTTTAATTAAATAATGAGGAAAAGGGATGAAGAAAATAACCAAAACATAAAATTAAAAAATCTCATTTTCTATACATTTTTGCTGGAAGATTATTTTCGTCCATAGCATCCATTATATCAATTTTCTATGAACAAAAATAAACTTGGTTCACCCTTCCATCCCCCTTCCTCAGGCATTACTTTTTAACTCACATATTTGAAGTTTAAAATATGGCTTTAAAGCATGGCGTACTCATGGGGGGAGGTTTTTATAGTCTCTTTTTATTAATCCAGTATAAAAAAGATACCTTCCAGCTCTTAAAATCACCCCAACCACTCAGAGCTTAGGGCCCCAAACATTAGGACTTTGATCCAGAATAAATTGGAGCATTAGGTGGCTATGAAGAAACAATTGACATAATCTGCAACATGAGGCTTGTTTCAAATAGCAGCAAGTCATTTTTGTCATGTTAAAAAAGATCTTCTCCATTTAGTGATTTAGGTGTAGATATTTCCCCACAGAGGCATTCCTGGAGGCAGTGTGAAGAGGGAATCTCTTACTCACAGAGTGATATTATAAAAAACACACAGAGTAATAAGTGGAGTCCCTACAGAGAACACTTTGAACAGGGAACATCCAAAACATCCTCAGTGCTTCAGATTACATTTGTTTGAATTTTTAACACAGGGTAACACAGCCTACTATGCACCAGCTGCTCCAAATGAGGCTGCCAACTTTTGTTTTTAACCATTCTGGCATGAGCACATTCTATGCAACTTTGAAACAGAATTGGTTGTGTGTTCACTTTTCTAATGAACCAAAATATAAATGGTTTCTGAGTATGAGCTAAGTGCGTTACCATTTTTTTCTCTTTATTTCCTAAGAGGGAATGTTTGAATAGTGTCTTTAATAACTTACAGGAAGAAATTCATCAGATTCTATTTTACCCATCTTTGTACTCTATGTTACATCTACTAAATTCCTACTGTTCATGCAGTTATTAATACATTTGCTGAAAAATAATGAGGAAGAAGTTGTGTGATTGTTTACAGGGTACAAAAGGACAGGAAGCATATTATCGAAATTTTTACACTGAGAAATAACAGAAGAAGGGGCATGAAGAGAAGAGCAGGCAAAACAGAGAAGTAGTAATTTCATTTTGTGTACTTAGATTTATGAGCCAGCATGGTGCAATGGTTTGAGTGTTGGACTAAGATTCTGGTACACCAGGGTTCAAATCCCTACTTGAACATGGAAAACCACTAGATGATTTTGGGCTCATAACATTGTCTCTGGTGGATAAACCCACCCCCCTGCTAAGAAATTAAGAAATCTTGCCAGTCTTGCCTAGAATACCTGGTTGGCCTTAGGGTCACCATAAGTTGGAAATGAAGGCACACATGACCAACAACAACAAACACTTTATACCAGATGATGATGTTGTTGTCAATAGTATTATTACTTACTTAAAAAATAGAGTTCCCAACAGTATGGAAAGCCTATCAGGAAGAATGATAGACCAGTGAGAATCTCCTTATCTCAAACTGTTGCAAAAAAAGTTATGCATAGAAAAGCATGGGGTTTTTTAAAATGCAAAACCCTGTTTCCCTGCCAACCCCTGCGTCTTCATTTTCTTTACATAAATGCTTGTTTCCTTCACAGGAAACCCCCTTTTTTCTGTGCAGAATATGTTTGGGGGGTTTTCACACTAAAAAAAACCCCTAAAAAAACACCAATGAATTTATCTACATAGAATAATTTCCTCACAAATTTTTGGGACATTCAAATATGGGGAAAATACTGTGGAGGAAAATTTGTTTTCTCCAGTAGCAGGGAGAAAACTACTACAATAATTTTTCCCCTAAGGATGAAATAGCCAAAGATTTGCATCCCAACCATTAATGAAGCCATGGGCAGATAAGGAAAATGTTGTAACATGTTCAGGAAAACACTATAGCATCAGCTTTGGGGTGTGCCCATTGTTCTTTTCTATATGCAGATAGGGATTTTCAACCTGCTCATTCCCTTGGAGCAGGTGGAGCAAACAATATTTGGGAAAACATATAACTAGTGTTCATTTCTTTGTTTTAAAACCTGTAACTGACAAGAAGGCAACATG